TAACTCAGAATCTCAGCACACACCTATGTTTGGAGACAGAGACTTTACAGAGGTACCAAAGGAGAGCGCTGGGTAGGCTGGAATGCAATGTGATGGCAGACAGAAGAGATCAGAGCACACACAGGGATGACCCTGTGAGGACACACGGAGAAGACTACACTCAAAGCTGCCCTCAAGGGGAGTCAGCCCGACCAGGCAGGTCTGTGGGAGAGCCCACCTCCACAGCTCACCTTCAGTGTACACAGCCTGGCATGGGCCTCAACGAGTCCACACAGGTATGCACCCTTGGGCCCCAAGGAGACTACTGGGCATCTCATGGCCCAAGGCAGTCCTACCTACACACTGCACACACCAGTAAAAACATTTCTCTGCCTCCTGGGACCAAAGAGAAGGGGAATTTGCTTGGCCACCATGAAAGCCCAAACAAAGTGAGGAGCTTCTCAACTCCAACCAGGTGGCTCCTGGGTCACCTTTCGATCATCCCTCCTCCATTTGGTGTTCAGCAGGTGGAGGTTGGAGGGGCCTATTCTCAGGGTGCCTCTCCATCCTCACAAGCCCTGCAGCTGTTCACTGGGAGTCCGGCAGCTGGATGAGGACAGTGAAGGCAAGAAGTCTTAGGCTACGGCAGTCCTGGTAGTAGGGTATACAAAGCCTGCGCTTTCTGACAGTCCTCTCTGAGCTGGCAGGCTCAAGCCCACAGTTTAAAGTGTCAGTGCTGCAGCACTGGCAAATGACAAAAGCCCTCCTAAACCTGAACATTTTAACAAGTATCCTCATAGACAGACCCCAGACCTAATTTGAACTTCGAGCAACTTCCGGTGCAGTCAGGGTTCTTGTCCTCCCCCACTAGAGTGGACCACTCTTTCCTGATGGGTCCTATTTTCACCCTGCCCACATTCAACCAATCAGGGCCTTTGTTAGTTAGCTCTTTAGGTCTGGGGATTGTAGTAGGAACATTATAAGAAGACCAACAGAGCTAACAAATATGGGCACAGGGAGGCCTGCAGAGACTGATGTACTGACCAAGGACCATGCATGGAGAGGACCTAGACCTCCTGCTCAGATGTAGCCAATAGGCAGCTCAGTCTCCATGTCGGTTCCCTAGTAAGGGAAGCAGGGACTGTCTCTGGCATGGACTCTGTTGCCTGATCTTTTATCACTTCCCCCTGATGGGGTGGCCTTGCCAGCCCACAGAGGAAAAGGATGTAAGCAGTCCTAATGAGATTTGATAGGCTGGGGCAGATGGTAGAGGAGGAGGACTCCCCCTTTCTGAGAAATAGGGAGGGGAATAGCGGGAAAGGGAGAGGGGGGTGGGACTGGGAGGAGACCAGGGAGGGGGCTACAATCGGGATGTAAAGTGAATAAATTATAAAAAATAAATTAAAAAAAATTTTAAATAATTAAAAAAAATAAATCCTGTGTAGCTGTCTGTTTTACCTTGTTTAAAGTCAATTCCCAACTGACAACAAAGTACCCCCGAGCCGTACTCTTTGCTGTCTGTTCACTTCATTCTTACCAGGACAGGGACAGGAGAACGTATCCAACAACTGCCTCACTGGCTACAATGCTTGCAGGACTGCGCAGCCACAGCTGCTGGTCATAGGGATCTGCTCAAAGGAGCAAACCGCCAAGGCTTGCTTGAAAGGAAAAGCTGGGGAAGTGGATCCCCAGCAGTGTGGGGAGAGAAGGGTGAGCAAAGCTACAACACACCCCTGGGAATCTACAAGACTGCTGGAGGGCTGGAGTCAAGCTCAGGAAAGACCGGAGAAAGCCCAGGAAGAAAAAGCTAAGGCTGGAGAACTGACTGCCTCAGGCATCGAGGGTGCGACGTCACTATCCCATCAGGAGCCAGTCACAAAGCTAAGCAGGAAGACACTTCATGGGCACATAACAAAGAATATGCTCACAGACTCTGTGAAGGAGGCCAATTAACAAAGGCTCTGGAGGGGAAAGAACACTCTCACCAAGATGCCTGACTTTCAGGTATACTGAGTTGCTCTCTCTGGTGTTATCCAGGAGGCTCGACATGGATAGAGGGCACATGGGCACCCCGTGTCGTGCCAGTCGTTAGGCACCAAGTCACACTTCATGGCCAGCTCCTGCTCTTTCACCTTAGGCCTGGCAGATCACCCTGCCCCTGCCCATAGGTTTAACATTCAGTGTTGTCACAAAGGCTCCGGAGGGGGGCATTCGGTCAAAGTGTCTACCCCTTCCAAGCGGTGGGAGTAGATCAGCATGCAGTTACCTTGACAAGATTTCTCTTACATTTTTGCTTGTGAGCCTAGCCTTCAATGGCTGCGCCATCATCTCTTCAGCCTGACATCTCTCCCAGATACAGCCACTACAATTCAGCAGCTGCTCTCCACCCCCAAGTCTCTTCATACCAGCCTTCCTTTCATTAAGGAATCCACTACCTGCTACTCCTCACAAGTCTCTCACTCTGCAGTGTGTCTGGTCTCTTCCCAGTCACTCTTCTAAACCACACCCCTGTCTACATTCATCACCGTGTCTTCTCTTAACTCAGTAGCTATGGGTCTTTCCTGAGTTAGCCCATGCACACTGAGCCTCCCGATCACATGACTGCAGTGTGTTCTGTGTCCCCACCAGATCCTGGCTAGTCTAGCTGCCTCCCAGCAAATTGTCAACCTTTTTTTTTTTTTTTTATTTTTCGAGACAGGGTTTCTCTGTGTAGCCTTGGTTGTCCTGGACTTGCTTTGTAGACCAGGCTGGCCTCAAACTCACAGAGATCTGGCTGCCTCTGCCTCCGAGTGCTGGGATTACAGGCGTGCACCACTGCACCCGGTGCAAATGGTCAACTTAAGCCACTGTTGACATGACAAGAATCAGGAGTGCATGAAACCTCACCACTGACTATCTGCAGCCTCCAGCACTGTTCCCTCCCTTTCTAAACTCTCATTTCCAGGCAGTTTAGCCCTCTGACCTCCCTTCTGTTTCTGACAAACTCCAAGCCCAGCATAATCCTATCCTTTATTTTTATCTAAAATGTTAGGACATAAACTGAGCATGCCCAGAGAATGAATCTTCTGAGCATGTGCTCCCTAACATTACACTGAGCATGCTCAGGACTGTACTTCTCACCTGAGCATGCTTAGGGATGGGATACGCCTGAAAGAATCAGACTAACTTTGTAACCTATGTTTCTTTAATTGCCTTATAACTTATATTTGCAAGTTTTAGGCCCATGTTAATTAAAGCCTCTTAGTGCTTCTCCAGAGAACCGAGGAATGTAAAAGTTCCTGACGTTAGCCATCTGTGAGGGCAGAGATAAGGAAGAGAACAAGCAGAGATCTCTACTAAATGGGAAAAAAAAGATGGGCTTTGTTTGGAAACTGGGCCAAATGGCCCCAATCCTTCTCCTAACCTTTGATCCAAAGCCTGTAACCCCCACTCCTCAGAACAGACATGGGATGAGTTAATCACCCTCCCACATTTAACTGTGGATGGCAGGAAATTCCAAACTGACTTGAAGATCAGATATTTACGACAGGGCTGACTGGACCTAAGGGTGACCAGAACTAACCAATTATTTTAAAAGTTAAACATTTCATCCAATCCTAAATTGCCAAGAAGTCAACCCCAGGAGATTCCCGCCTTGTGCCTTTTAAAAACCTAAGGTCTTTGTCTCCTGGTGCCACTCCTAGCTGACCAGCAGGGGTGACCCCATTGCACAATGGTCAAGAGGAGTCTCTTGCGTTTTTGCATCGATGGATGATTAGTTTCCTGAGTTCTCTTCATACCTTCTTATATTTAGGCTCTTGCTGGGCCTAACACGCCCCATCTGAGTGCCTACAGACCCCCCATGCTTCCTCTGCGCAAGAGGGCACTACACTGGGAACTCCCCTGTGCTCTCCTTCCCCCTCTTTGCTGTTCCAGCTGTGCTTGTTCTGGCTTTGCCCTTGTCAAGATGAGATCCACTGCATTCAGTTACAAAGCTTCCTGCCAGAACAACCTGCTAAGATTTTATTTTATTTTTATAAGTGAAAAAGAACCATATTGAAAGCTGGTAGAAGTACAACTTTGTTTGTGTGTTGCTTTAAATCTACACTTAGTTGCATCACTGTTATCTATGGCCATCTAGGGAGAGAGAGCGGGAGCCACCCTTCCTTCTCTGGTACAACTCACAACGAAACATCATTAAAGCTTAACAGGGCTCTGGGACAAATCCCCATCTACGCGACAGCCACAGTCTTTGCTTCACCCCCTGTGCTGACCAGCCTTTGGAAGGTTTGAAAGAAAAAAAATTTTAAACCAAAATATGTACAAACACAGAAAGGGTGCTTTAACTATAAATGTCTCTGAGAACAGCTTCCCAGAAACAAGGAGGGAAATGCTGAGCCTTGCTGTGGCCAGTACACCCTCATCTCAAACAGCACCACCTTCATTGAACAGAGCCCTAGCAGGAGCTGGTTTTCTCCTCTTAAGCTCTAAACTTGGATCCCACAAGAAACCAAAGGTCCTTAAGGGATACTGACCATTGACAGATCAGGTTCTCTGAGGCAGTGATGCTCAGCCAGCCCCACCAGCTTCAGGCAGGGACCCTAAACCAACCCAGGGATTTGCCAGTGAGGTCCCCAAAGTGAGCCAGACCACTGTGCTTTTCCAAGCCTCTCACTTCAGACACTGAGATGACAACTTGGGATCCGAAACACAGTGGGCTTCAAAACAGCTGCTTTGGAGTCGCTCTCTAACCACCATCATGGCCAGGAGCCAGGGAGGGAGGAAGGCCCTACCAAAGCTGGAAGAAATCACCTTCTTGTTGTTACTACCTGTCCATCACAGATTCTCTGACAGAACCAGCCAGAGAATAGCCTAAGGCCAGGGCGTAGACCAAGGCAGAGACTGCAGAGCAAGACCTCAGTGCAGTGCAGAACAGATCTGCTGACAGCCTGCAGAAGCCACAATGGGAGTAAGCCAGGGCTGTGAGTGGCAACTGGTCGTGTTACAGTGAAGCCACTCCTCCTCAACTCCCTCCAGCTTACCTTTTTGTCCTCTTTGGTCTTTCTAACATTTCGATGGGGTCCGAATATGTTCTGCATTCCAAAAGCTTTCCTGGACCAGTCCCTCTTCTGGGTACTGAGCGGGGCCTGTGCAAAGTTGCCCTCCACCCGGTATCGATCTGCAGGAATCTTACTCATGGGAGGGGGCAGAGTGCCACAGTTGACACTCGACCACCCATCCGTAGAGTCTGTGTAAGACTCCTGGTCACTGGCATGCCCACACTGCCACTCCTGCAGCACATGGCCCGGGAGCCACCTCTGGTTGAAACCACAGCTGGAACCTGTGGCACCCCTCTTAGAAGGGGGTACAGAACTCCTCAAGGAGGCTGGAGGGACCTCCACGTAAGACGTAGGTCCTGAATGCTTTGTTAAGTCCCAGAACCTGTCACTGTGCGGGCTGGTTTCCAGTGGGGAGCCCACCTCTGAGTCATGGCCGAAAGCTCCGTTCCAGGGTGCACTCCAAGGCTGTGAGCCCCTTCCACTCACACCTTCCCACCCTGGGCTGCTGCCCTGGCCATGCCTGCTCGAGCCCCCGCCTAGGTCAACTACAAGCACCCTGTTGCTCTTCTCTTCCTGGTTGAAATTGCCAATGCCGCTGTCGCTGTTGCTGCTGGTGCTGTTATTCTGGTGGGCATCCGCATCTCCATCTAGAAAGGCACGGGCCCGCACACCCTCGATCAGTTCTCCCATGTCTCGGTATAGAACAGAGATGAACTGAAGCACAGGGAGGGAAGATGCTGGGAATTCCAAACAGCCGCTCGTGTCTGGGTCTGCAGTGCATGCAAACCCAAATCTGCGTGCAATGCCTTGGTGGATCTTGTGATGAAACAAGTCTGGGTCCACCATGAACACGTGGCAGGACGTCCTCAGGGCACCTTCATCCTCCTGCGCCAGGCCCCCATCATCGTTGGTCTGCATGGTCACCAGCCCGAAGAACCGCCTATCATCTGGGCACACAGCACTGAATGCCAGCTTCTCGGCAGGGTACTCGGCCACCACGCCAGCCCTGTCAGTGACCAGCTGCACACAGTCATGCATGACCTTCATGGTCACTAGGGAATGGATCTTCTGCTCGGCCCGCAGGCGGCGCATGCAGCCACGAATAGCTTGTAAACTGTCGTGCTCCAGGTTGGAACTTGTGGAAGGGAGCTCAATGGAGCCCAAATAGCCCACGACCATGGCAACGTTTAAAATACTTGCATCTAGTCCAAAGTCGTCATGATTGTCCAGCCCCACAGTGAATACGGAATCATCATTGATAACTTTTGGTACCTCTTCCTTGGAGAGCATGCTGAGATGTGGAGAGCAGAGACTGTCCTGGCCAACATCAAGCCGCAAAGCAGCTGACTCTGACAGAGACCTCTGCTTCAGCTTCCGGGGCTCAGTGCCACTGGCACAAAGATTTGGGCTTTCAAAAATCATGTTGAAAATCCCACCAGACTGCACCTCTTCTACAACCCTCTCTGCCCTGTTTATACCCAAAGCCTTAGAATCAAGCTTAGGCCTCAGCCAGCCTTTCCCCTCATACAGGCCACCTTCTTCATCGCTGGAACAGGACTCCACATGGCTGGTGCCCTCAGAGATCACCATGTGGAGGACTCCGGAACACTTCCCAATTAGTTTCACCACATCTTCATGTGAGGCTTTCTTCACATTGATTTCATTGATGGCAAGTATCTGATCCCCAGCCCGGAGGCCCACGAAATCCGCAGGGCTGCCCCTCATGACACAGCTGAGCACACAGGGTGCCTGTCCTGACAGGGTGAAGCCATAGCCAGCTCTGCCTCGGGCCACTTCCACACTCCGCACCCGAGGGGGTGCAGGGCCAGGCTGCCGCTTCCCTGGCTCCCCTGCCCTGTACATCCTGTTGTACTGTCAGAGCTGATCGCATGTCCCGCTATTCCAGGGATTCCATGTTTCAAGGAATGCTTGATACTACCAAGATTTTTGTCTTGAAATGTTGCCCTAAGGAGGAAATGCAAATACCTTGTTATTAAAGAGTCTGTATCTCTAACCCTTAGTGGCACTACCTGACTCTACAAGGTAATTAACAATAAACACACACACACACACACACACACACACACACACACGTCTCTACAGTCACCACAAAAAATGTCAAGGTGAAAGGAATCTAAACCTGGTGGCTCTCGGGCTCCGTTAAGAACCCTGTTATCAAAGTGAAAAGAGCCTTCAAGGTTTTTGAAGAGGATGTACATTAGAACAGCCTGATGGCCTCTGTATTCAACCTGAATGGAAAGCAGCTAAGGCGCAGGCCCAGGCTCCCCTGAAGACTCCATGGAGCCCCTTGTAGGTCCAGTGTGAGAAACGGGGGCCTGCTGCTATCCTGCAGCCGAAGGCCCCAAAGATCACCTAATGCTTTTATCTGATCACAAGTCCCTTCTACAAAATGTTCTCCCATATCCCATGACTCTCCCACAATTAATTAATTGTGAATGTTTCCCAGCACTATGCTGGGAAAACACGTAAGTATGAAAGAACCTCAATCAATAAAACCATGGAGGTCATCCAAGAGAAGAGATAAAAAAACAGCAATTGAACAAAGCAAAGCAATGGTATACTGATTTATTCCAGAGTACATGACTTCATAAAGTACTGGTTGTCACTAAAACCAGGCTTGAGATTCTAAGGTATTTTTGTCTTTTTGGCTGTGAGCCTTAGCCTTTAATGGCTGAGCCATCTCTCCAGCCCCTCAAAGGTATTTTTTAATCATCCTTTAGAAAGGGTGTGACTACTTTAATCTAAAGAATACAAAGCCACTATAGAAAAATTCTGTGATTACAGTTGCTATTAAATGAACTATAAACCTGAAAAAAGGTTAAAAAAACAGACCTGTGTCAGGGTCCCCAACACCACCCAGCCCAGTGATCCACAGGACTCTCAGGGCTTGGCACAGACACACACCAAGGTTAAGACTCATTACAACAAAGGGACTCAAGGTAAAATCACCAGAGGAAAAGATATACAGGGATGCCCAAGAAACCAGGCATGAGTTTCTAGAACCTTCTCCCAGTGGAGTCACACAGGACATTAAGTCCCTCCAGCAAGGACCTGTGACAACATGCATGTAAAATGTCTAAACAGGAGCCCAGAAGAGACTTACAGTCCAGGATTGTCTCTGGGGTAAAGTCACACTGTTGTCCCCTATACAGCAAAACGAAAATTCCAGACTTCCAAAAGAAAAGCAAGTATGAAGGGCACTTGCTCAACTATGTTCATAGCAGCTTTATTCATAATAGCCAGAATCTGGAAACAACCTAGAATGTCCCTCATCCAGAGAATGGATAAGGAAATTGTGGTACATTTACCCAATGGAATTCTACTCAGCTATTAAAAACAAGAAAATCATGAAATTTGTAGACAAATGGATAGAACTAGAAAAGATCATCCTGTGTGAGGTAACCCAGAACCAGAAAGACATGCATGGTATATACTCACTTTTAAGTGGATAATTAGCCATATAATATAAGATAACCATAGTATAATCCATAGACCTAAAGAAGTTAAATAACAAGAACTCTAGAGAGGATTCTTAATTCTCATTCAGAAGGGCAAGTAGAATAAACACCGGAAGCAGTTGAAGAGAGGGAACAGGACGGGAGCCTACCACAGAGGGCCTCTGAAACATTCCATCCAGCAGGGGATCGAAGCAGATGTTAAAACTCAAAGCTAAACTTTGGGCAGAGGGCAAGGAGTCATATGGAAGAGTTACAGGATAGAAGGACATGAAAGGGACAGGAACTCCATAAGACCAACAAAGCCAAAAATTCTGGGCCCCGGGGACCCCGCAGAGACTGATGCACCAACCAAGGACCATGCGGGGGGAGGACCTAGACCCCCTGCTCAAATATAGCCAACAGGCAGCCCAGTCTCCATGTGGATTCCCTAGTAAGGGGATCAGGGGCTGTCTCTGACGTTAACTCTGTTGTCTGCTCTTTGATCACTTCCCCCTGGGGTGAGAATGCAGGCAGTTCTAATGAAAATTGATAGGCTAGGATCAGATGATAGGGGAGGAGGCTCCCCTCTTTCTGAGGCCTAGGGGAGGAAGATGGGGGAGAGGGAGAGGGAGTGGAACTAGGAAGAGAGAATGGAGGAGTCTATAATAGGGATGTAAGGTGAATCATTATAAAAAAAATACATTTAAATTAAAAAGAAAAAGAAAAGCAAGAATGGCCATAAACCACATTGTCTACACAGCCATTAGAAGCACAAGGAATCTTGCCCACCATGCAGGTAGGCGCCATCTCAGTCTGCAGGCTTTCTTGGACAGGTGTCTAATGCTGAGAACTCTACTGCTTAAGACTCTTTCAAGATTACCTTTAAAAACAATACAGGGTCTTGAGGAGGTGACTCGGTTGGTGAAGTGCTTACTGTGTAAGTACAAGGGGCTGAGTCCCATCCCTAGCACTTACAGTTAAGAAAAGTGGGCCATGCAATTCATGCCTGTAGTTCCTGTACTACGGAGGAAGAGACAGGAGACAGAGGACTTGCTGGCAAGGTAATGCAGCCTGACTGGCAAGCTACAGATTCAGTGAGAAACCCTGTCTCAAAACACAAGGTGGAAGCCAGAGGTGGTGGCATACACCTTTAAGCCCAGCACTCAGGAAGCAGAAGCAAGCAGACGGTGAGCTCAAGGGCAGTCAGGGATACACAGCAAGACCCTGTCACAAAAAAAAAAAAAAAAAAAAGCACAACTGGCCTCCATATGCTTCACATGCACATAATACAAACATGTACTTGAACATATGCAAACACGTACACACACATATACAGTACACACAAAATAAAGATCAATGCATATATATCTATAAGCATCACACTCGGAAGGCTGAGGCAGGAGCCTTCTGTATGGTCAGCCTGGACTGCAGAGTGAGACTACGTCAGGGAGAAAAGGCAATACAGTCATGGCTGGAATGTGGCAATCCAAACTACAATAGTGAGCCTGGTGTTTGCACAACTCACTGCTGAATTAATTACTCTCTCAAGACAGTCTTGTGTTGTGAGATAGTTTCCAGTAAAAAAAACTGTGAACATCTTCCAAATGATTTACAGACACACCAAGGCTAAACAGCTGGAGGCAGTGGGAAGAGCATCAGGAGATTGCAGGAATGGTACCAGGACAGTGAGGGCAAGAGTGCACAGGATACATGTTTGAGTAGAATTACTCTTGGTGTACAGGAGCGAAGAAAGAATAGTTTATATATGGCATCACTTAATATCTAAGTGATGCCAAATTCATAATTTAAGTATTTATTACTCATTAATAAGATGCACATGATTGGAGCTGGGAGTATAATCCCACGATAGGAGTATAATCACATATGATCAGCATATGAGAGGCCCTGGGTTCCACCACACACTGAAGATGACCAAGAAGCTGTTTTAAGAGCTCACTGGATCTTCTCTGAAGAGTGATGGCCAGAACTGTGCCCCTAACACATCTGCATTCTAATGCCCACAACTTGTGCATGTCCCCTCGCTAGGTACAAGGCTTGGCAAATGAGCTCAAGGTAAGGACACGGAGATTGAGAGACAGACAACCCTGCTTTCAGAAGGGCTCCATGACTCCTGGAGCCCAGGAAAGGGATGGGAAGATGTACCAGTCAGCAGAGACAGTGTGTGCATCTGGAGGACCCTTGGGCACGGCCCAGCACGTAAGATGGAGGCAACAAGGCCTCCAAGAAGAGCCAGCCCCGTGACACTTTGACTTTAGCCAGGTCACTCCAGATCCACAGGTCACCGCATGACAGGCTGCAAAGCCACAGCCTTAACGGTTTCTGCTCTGACAGCTCCAGAAGCAAATACAAGCAGCTGCAGGAGACACACAGCACAGGATGCTGGGCCTGGAACAGCGCTGCCCACAGTGCCACTGCGAGCGTCAAGTCATCCTTGCCATCTGCTCCAGGACCAGAGATCAGCAGTTCGAGGCTGTCTTCCTCCAGAGACAGGAAACACCTTGCTCCTCTAGACAAGAGTCCACTGAGCCTGAGACAGGCCCTCGCCAAAGCCCAGCCTTATCAGCACAGGTGCCGCCAAGCTACATTCTCCAACAGGGACCTACCCCCAGCAGACCCCTGTCTACCCCTTACCCTCCCCCGTTGCAATCTCACCCCCACCTAGCAACACCTGTGGCTGTCAAAAACCCACCTGGCACCACCCACACCAACATCTACATCAGGCACACACCAAAGACCAAAAGTTGTCCCACTGACAACATGCCACGGGCTCACACTGACCTCTCAACTACTGTAGCAGCCTGACACCAACCCCACCTCCTAGGCATTTTCTGAAGAACGCTGTGGAGGCTCAAACCTGTCTTCCTACCAATCCATCCTCCTGACCCTGGAAGACCAGGAGCTGGACCCATCAAGACACAGTGCAAAGGAAGGATCCAGCAGGTTCTTAAGCCACATGGCCACCTCTAGGCCATCTGACTGCCAATCAAAGCTGCTGCATACAGAGCAAGTGTCTGCAGTGAACAGCCCTTGACTAAAACCTCCTGGGTCCCGGCTCCTAAACCACACAGTTTACACTGGCACATGTTCTGTCTGCCATTCCATGACTGTCACCAAGCAAGGCCCAGAGCAGCAAGGTGAGAAAAAACATCCCCTTTCTGTGAAGACCTCTCAGGCCACGGACCAGGGAGCCATAAGGCCTCTGCACCAGAGGCCACCACTGGCTTCTGACACCTGGTGCTTCGTGAATTACTTCCAAAAGCAGTGGCAACAAGGCCCTTGGCTACCCTCAGCCAGGGTGTCCTTCACCTTATTCTGTCTGTTTCTCCTTAAGGACCCAACTCCTGGCTAACTGAACTCCAAGCCCCAACTCTGAGCTCTCCCCTAAAAACCTGCTATAGCCGGGTGGTGGCAGTGCATGCCTTTAATCCCAACACTAAAGAGGCAGAAGCAGGCCAGCCTGGTCTATAGAGTGAGTTCCAGG